CAAAATGCGACAGTGGTGTTTGCTGATTAATAGGGGACAAACGTGAAGCCTGGCAATGCAGGAAAGCTGGGTTGTTTAAGGGTTGAACATAGGAAGTACACCAGAATTCGGCCTCTTTGCGATCTGCTAACCTCAGAAAGGGGCACCGTTTTGAACAAGAGCGCCCGACTGATTCTGGGGGGGTCACAACAAGTGGAAAATGCGGCTACATGCGGCTACCAAGGACCGGCTTTTGTTGATAGTTGCTGAAACAACTGGAGGTTTCGTCCAAGGCAAGTACCTACAGGTGTCCGTCGGCGAGCCAAACTTTTCTGCCGGCATTTGGTGGACATAAGCAACTTCCTGCAGCCAGTCTATCGGTCTATTGAAAGCCTGACAGCAGATACCCCCAAAGCAACCGAAAGCGCGGTTGTGGTTCGAACCACGCCAAAGGATTCGGGAAACCATAAGGGGATTCCTTTACCTCGCTTCGTGAGTGGATTGTCCCAACAAACTCCAAAGTTCGTATTTACCGCCAGAATGGTCTGACCACAAAACTTGAAGTCGAGGAACTCAGGGAGCGAGTTAAAGGAAGCCAGTTGGATGCTTCACTTTGGGGTCATTCCCTCGATCGAACCGGCAAGCCACGCGCAAAGGTGAAAGCCCCCAACCCAAATATGTTTGTAGGTTTCTCAGTTGGAACACCTCGACAAAAACCATTTGTTGCGCGGTTTATTTTTCTTCGCATGGAGCCTCCAAAATCAAAAGGGCAAGCCAGGAATCCCTTCAAGCGAAACTTTGCAGATCCACTCACTTGGATCTCGCTTGACTCTGCAAGTGAGGAAGAGTGTCCAAGCAGGGTTCCATTTTTCGCGATCGGCAGAAAAGAAATGTGGTAGCCCTGGAACACCAACGGAACTTGTTGACCGTTTTCTAGAACGCCTCGAAATCCGGTCCAATGGTGTTTGGTCACATTAGTTGAGAAAACACGCTATGTCTCCTGAAAGTAAAAATAGAACCAAGGAAATCTCACTGATGCCATTCATGCTGACTTTCTCACTAGAAAGGGATTCTGATTTGGTATCACAAACTTTCCATGGGACCCAACGCCCCTCGTTTTGTAGGCTCCGCATAAAGCCCCTGCTTCGGAACATGGGTTTTCCCTCGTTCTTCAATCACATACGCAAACCTCCAATTGCCCCCAGGTTGGAATCCCCTCAAATGATGATTCTCCTCTTGGTGTCCCTTTAACACCCACTGCAGTTGCCAGTACCCAAGTCAGCTCTCGTACCCGTGGAGTATGGAGGAAACATACCCCCGAACTAACGGGGACGTGAAATGACGTCAGCCCCGAGAACTGGAGTCGGAGGTATCCGAGACATGGGAAACCCGGCTCTTCACCGGCGGGGGAAGTTCATGAATTGTCAGCCCGAGGGGTGTCCACCTTTGCAGATCCCATAAGGGGCCCTGCAATGGAGAGGCCCGACCAACTCCTGAAAGGCCCTCCAAAACAGTCGAATCGGACCCTGAGGGAACTGGAAAGGACTCCCCATGTTAGCCATGTTTCTCAGGGTCGTGAGCTTCGCTTGCCCAAGGGCCCGGATGAGATGAACTGCCCCACTCTGCTGCCCAGCCGCGAACAAAGGACGGCCTAAGCAGATCTCTCTCATCCACAGGCGAGCTGAAAAAGATAGCTATCCCTGATTGATACCCCTGGCGCTACTGTACAACCCCAAGCAGGGAACCGATTCCACAAACGCACCCCACCCCCCAATAGCCAGTCTTGGGGGTCTGTCAAATGACAAAAAGGGGGCATTTATGAATCATGGAAAAGCAGGTTCTTGCAAAATATATTACTGATAAGAAAGCGGGTATTGGAGTATGCGGTACCAACTCCAAAACAAACGAATGTTCACCAGCCGAGCCATACCCCTCCAAATGCCCGCCGTTTTCAGGGTATACTTCGCAAAACCAGTGTCCCTTTTGGTTGTCTTGACACAGACTGAGACGGACAAACACCGCCTTCAGTTCGGGCTTGACAAATCGTAATTGCTTTCGTGGGTATTTGAAGTATTTAAAGCAGACTCCCTTGGCCGCTCGCTGAAAGTGGGAGTCCCGCAGGGGAGGTGGGGTCCCCCAATTCCATTTTGCTAGTCTTCTCCACAAAAGGAGAAATTGCAACCATAAATGGAACAGCAGGGGTCCACCCCCCTCCCCCAATTCCATTCTTAAGGGGGTGGGGATCCTTTATAAAGGTTTGTATAGGCCTTGCTACAAGCCCCGAACCAGGTAGGAACCGAAGAATTACTGACATGGGCAATATGAATCAGCGGTGATTAAATGGGCTTGGCACTTCATCCCGAAGTGGCGCACCGAAAAATGTCGGGGGCTGGGTGGGGCCTAGGATCCGTTTAAGACATCCTCGAAATGGCCCCAGAGAAATGGCGGTGCAAACACCCCAAAGTGATTTGGAGAACCCCCGAACACGTTCGCTTGGAGGGACCCAGTGTAAAGCCAAATGTCCACCGCTGTCTAGAAAAGGAGGCGTGTCTCACGCAAACACTGGTTCTTCCAAATATGCAAAATAAAGTGGGTATTCGGAGTAGGGGGTATGGCGCCACTTTAAAATGCGGGCCATGCCAACACAGTTCGCCCAACCCATGAACCAGCAAAAGCAAGAAATGAGGATCGGGCAACACGGCTCGGGAAAAGGAAGCTCACTGAGGCTGCTGCTGTTCATGTCCGCATGCAGAAGTGCTGCAAGGAGAAAGCAGGCCGCCACCATGGGAAGCACCTCGGCTTCGTTGAAGAAATTGCACCTGGTTCCGTTTTCTTAGGGCTTGGGTTTAGATTCTATTTACTTGCTCGAACCTGTTCTCACGAAACGACTCAAAAGGGACCAAGGGAAAGGTGAGCGACATGGAAGGGAAACATAGATGTATTAAAAGGCTACAAGGTCGATTCGCTTTGGACAACCCAGATTCCCCCTAGGCATCCCTGATTCAAAAAGCTACTATGCAAAACCTGGTCTTAGGGCAGCGGGGAAGATGATGACAACCGACTCCCTGAGTGGAACGCCTAAACTGGAAGAATTCCGAACACGCCACAGGGAACTCCTGAGCCTTCGGAACTGAAGCACTTCAAAGCAACACGGATCCAATGTTGATTCAAAGCAAAGGGGAGCTATAGAACGAAAGTGCCAACTAATTCGCCCATCAACACAAAACAACAAAAACAAAAACACGGAAGGATGCTTTTCCCGCCGACAGGTGTTTAAACCAGTACCCATAAAACGTGTTTTTTGGGAGACTACAAGGGATGGTGCATGGTCTAAAAAAGGGGGTTCGTCAAACCGTCTTGAATCTGACACACTCCGCTCAAAATTCACCAGGACACAAACAAGCCAAAATGAACCTCTCACCTGTTGTTGTTGAGGGTCTCTTTTGTGTGCTTTCTTTTTCCAGAGCCAAAAGGAACCCACCCTCTGGATTTTGGTCAACCCTCAGGTTCCACCCAAAAACCGTCAAAGGATAGAACTGCTAATCTCCGACAGGGAAGCTGGCCCAGAACAAACGTGCGATCTGGCGCTGCAAAAGTGGCAATAGGTCACGTCCCAAAACTCAGCTTCCTTTTTGGTGGCTTGGATTGGTGCTTGGAGGTTAATGGCTGGGTTGGAGCCCAAAAACACCAAACTAAGGTTTCCCTGAATTCCCCCCAACAAAACAGACACAACAAAACGCATAAGTCCAGTATACGATCGTAGGGAAACAATGTTTAAGCATGGGTGTGTGTGTGTCATACGGTTTTGAATTTCTCAAAGAATGGATTTCGGTGTCCTTTTGGTTCCCTTTCCAGCCTTTATGCTGACAAAAACACACACACACACAAACACCCACACACACACACACCCATTCGGGTTTGCCTCATTGCCAATCCAACTTGTGGGCTCCTGCACCAAACAAAAGAGGCGAGGGCCAAACAACACATGTTCTGTCGACCCTCGGCTTAGGCCCAACCAGGTCTTATGTGGAGCTCAGCCAACAACAAAACGTTTGGGACCCGTAAAACCAGAGATTCAGCAATCCGAAGAATGCCACGGCGCTGGCAGAGAGTCGGCCTCCTGGGCACGAGGAAACCAACTTGAAGCCTTCGCTGGACCCAACCCCCTTTGAACTCCCCTTTTTCAGGGTTTGGGGGGGCTCGACTCGCTGTGGGCTCTTTGGCACTTGAGTGGAGTGGCCAAAGCCCAACAGTCGAAGCTGATCTTTTCAATCGTCGTGCGCTGGGGCTCAAGAGCACAGACCCCAGCTGTCAGCAACCTTTGCGCACTTTGATTCTTGGGGGCTTCGGGGGGAAGAGACAGGAACCCACAACAGGAAGCGGAACCCGGCAAATTGGCGTTTCTGTTTGGTTTCCCAAAGCCAGCCCGACTCAGTACCCTCGAAAACACACGCACCCAAGTAGGGCTCATGATCCTGTCATGCAGACTGACTAGTAGCTATAGTGGCTGAATATACCATTCAACCTTTTGACAAAACAAAAAGACAAACGGCAGAAGCGTGGGCGACTGCCGAACCTCCGGCCTCCTCATAGCTCCAGCGGTGCGAGACAAGGGCACGATAGACCAGGGAAAGCACCAGGACCAAGCTGCAAATGTCCACGACCTAAGGCTCGCGGCTTCCCTGGCGCAACCCACCTGAGTAAGGTCCACCTCGGATTCATCCGGACCCTGGGTTCTGTTCTCCATGGATGTTCTCCACGGAAAAGTTACCAAAGTTTCGGTTGTCACAAAGGTGCCCGTTCATGGCAACTCGCATTGAACAAAGCCTTACTTCTCTACTGCTCAGAGGAACCCCTGGCGATAGAAGACATCCTTACAAGGGGAAGCACCCCTGAAACCGGTCCGGATCTATCCGAAGTTGACATAAATCAGATTGCCCCAACTGAGCAGTGCCCAACATAGGGTACATAAACCCTCTACGAACAAGCCACTTTCGCGGGGATTCTTTCGCGATGCCTTCGCGAGGCAACACGTTTCACTTTCGCGGGCATGCGTTTTGTCATGATCACTTTCGCGGAGCTTTCGCGGGCAACAAAGAAACTGCGAATATGCACTTTTGCGACGCTTTCGCGGCGGGCTCTTCTTCAACCACTTTCGCCGCGGGCTTTCGCGCCCTGCGTTTTAGCTTTCGCGAGGCTTCGTTAGGAGAGGCCCTCAATTAACTCCTTTCAGAAGGGTTTTTGGCGCTGCTCAACTGGTTTCGGGGCAGGCAAAGAGGGCTCAACACCCTACCAGGCATGACTTCTCAAGAACAAACTCCGATTTGTCTGACGGACCTGGCACTTCCTTCCGGGTGCTCCTTGAAAAAAACTGGCGGGGTATTTGGCAGTTGAGAATTCCAAGCCTAGGACCTAGGATCTGAACTGGAGATCCGCACGTCTTCCACGGTTTCAGCAGTTGGCTAAATATGAGCCTCACCCACGAAGGAGAGGTCCCAAAGAATGGGTGTGTCTTAAAAGAGGCGGCCCCCAAAATGCTTCGTTGCCTGTTGGTTTCCCTTGAGAAGCAGCCCCGAAAGGGGTACCCACAAAAAGATGGTCCCTTTTTGGGATGTCCACTCCACGACCAGAAATCTTACCCTGGAACAGCCTGGTGTCTCCTCATGTATGCTTTGCTGTACTCTGGCGACTAGTGGTGACTGATAGTGACGAGTAGGGTCGAGCGAGAAGGGGACGATTTAGGGCCAGAACCTCATGATTGTGTTGTCGCCTTGGCTCTGAATCAGCATTGGAATATATTTACCTTTGAAAGGTGGACTTTTGGAGCGAGTACTCCAACTTTGTAGGGCATTGGACAACCTCGTTTCCATGGCTGACCCCGGCCTCCCGAAACCAAATGCCTCCTTCGAGGGATGTGGGAAAATGATGTCACTGTCACGCTGAAACCCAAGTTACTATCCTGGATTATTGGGAAGCAACCCAACATGGCATCAGATTCCATGTGGAAATAGTTCAAAATGAGGTGGTTCCCCGCTGGGTGTAATCCATGGTGTCATACAACAAGTCCTTGCCCATACTCCAAAAACCCACTTCTTGATAGTACATGACTTGTCAACCCCTGACTAAAAAGGATGTATTTACCACGGAAATCCTGGATTGTCAAACAAATCAGAGCATTGCGAGGGGTAACCCAAAGACCTGAATCATTATGAGGGTTGTGGGGACCTTTAAAGCCATGACTGGAGGCAATTGTTGGCATGTTTTAGCCCCTCAGATTAAGCGTCTGAAGCATGGAGCCTTCGTAAGCCTTGCAACTCTTCAGCGCATGTCGTTTCAGATGCCTGGTAGACGAAGTCCCCAGAAGCATCCACGGGGAGGTAGCCTCAGGTGAGCTACGGACCAGATGTTCCCTCCCTCCAACGATCATGGAAGCTGACAGGAGGGGTTCCTCCATTTGCTTCGGTCCGCTGGAAAAATGCGAATATGTCCAGTAGTAATACAACCAACAGGGAAACATACCCATACTATTCAGCAAATGGAAGGAGTTGGAAGACTACTTTCCTTTTGGGGAAGCCCTATGTCCACTTTGATTGTTGGAAAGGGTATCTGCATACTCTACAAACAACAATCAAAACCTGAAACGCTGAACCCCCAGAGGACCTACATCATGGTGAGCTCGGAAAAAGGCTCACCAAGAAATGTTCAGATTTATTGAAGTTGGTGAGCCGCTCCCAATTAGCGGCACTTTCGAGTGAGTTGCCCAATCGCACTACAAGAGATGATGGTGAACATGGGCTCTCAACACAAGGGGCCATTCGGTTTCCTTTTGAACCCCAAAACAGGTACCATCAGAAAACAAGAGCCCCACATTGACCAAATGAGCCAAACACCCAGGGAAGTAGGTCGATAGCAAGAGCCATGGACATCTGAGAGCTGCCTCACATGTTCTGTTCAAACTGACAACATAACATGCCCTACAACACACCCTTGCAATAAGCGTGTATTTGTAGCCTGCCAATCCTTTTGTCAGCTGTTGGCATTGTGGAAGATCACCCTGTCCAGTGTGGGGCATTCCAAGGACTACTTTCTTATTTTGAAAGGGACTCCCTTGGTATCAGAGTACCACAACAAACTGCCCTAAAACACAGTCTTCAACAACCATCCCTAAAACCAAATGTCCCACAACCATGATTTACTCATTGACATCTGTCGTGCTCAAATATCAAACCACCGATCTGCCATGCGTCCGTTCAGCCATGTAGTCGAGGAGAGGCGGCACGCAAATGCCAGCGCCTGCATGCGCCGTGTGCGGCGAGTTCTCCGCGCTGTGAATTTCTTAAGGGGCTCCTCACACCATTCTCTTCAGAAGGCACCTATTTCCAAAAGAGCAAGACGATCCGATGAAGATCAGAATATCTGAACAAAATGAATGCGGAGGGCAACTAGAGCTAGAAAAAACTGTGCGCACCAATACTACGGTGTTCAGATCCCAAAAAAATCCGTCTTCGAGAAAACGCCAAAACACGAAAGATGGCCGGCTGAAACGAAAAGGAATCGGCCCGTGGGATATGTCTCACGTGTAGGGATCCTCCTAAGCAAGAGGGGGTTCTATCAAAGCCCCACTCTTGAAGAGTCGTTCGATTGTTTTGAGAGGCCCCTCTTGCGTCCGTGCTTCCCTGCATCTCACAACCAACCCGGCGTTCTCCAAACAGAAGATGGGAGGTTTCCAGTAGCCAAAAGGTAGGAAGGAACATTCCTTTGGCAGCACCAATGAAGAGATGCTAAACAACTCAAAAGCTAAAAACCGATTCAATCAGCAGTGCCGCCAACTTGATTCATTTGCGTCTCCCGACCGCATCGGGGCTACCAACCCTGGTGGCTTGTCGGAAGAAAACCCACCGACCAATGGCAGGGAGGCCTTTCTGTGATACCAAAACAGGCCATCCATGTCCATGACTACATAACAACTTAAGAAGGGCTTCCCTTGGTATGCCAGAAAATGGCAACCTGAAACCCCAGGTTCAACGTCTGGTCCAACCCGGGTCCCGGACTCCCGATCGATGGATGCTCTCGCCTCCAGCATCAAACACTTGGCCGAGATGCCTGCCACGGTACCTGCACCGATGCACTCAGAAGTTTGTATGAGAGCGCCATTGCTATGTTTTTGCCATAACAATCCCACACGCACATGATTATCTCATCATGGCTTTAGTTTGTTTTGTACTCCCTTGCAACAATAGTCTAATTCGTGAGGCCCTTGCAGTGAACCCCTAATCTAAATACCCTGTTGTGTAGGATGCCAACCATTGTCCGGAAGAGGATGTGCTTTCCCACGAGAACACCATGAGGTTAACAAGTGGGTATAGAAAGGGTGCATGAACCCCTGGTAGCACCTCTCAATTGGTCAACAGTCAACCCTTCAACCATTCACCGGATGAGCCGCCGTCAAGCCTGAGGATTTTTTGGGGCTTGATATCGGAATTGGCAAAAATGAGCGCCGATCCGAATGAGCAGGGCTTGGGAGCCGTTCAGCTAACATGCAAATGAAAGGTTCAGACCTAGGCGATGAGTTCTACTAGGGAGCCGTTGATTTCCCTTCAAAACCACTCCAAAAGGGGACCCTCAGAGAAAATACACCCACCTCCTGCAATCCCCAATCATTCAGGAATGCCCTGAGCGTTTCGATGAGTTACTCGAAAAAGTGATGCCTTGGGTTCCCAAAAAGTGGTGGTTTTTGAGGGCCCTTGAAGAATTGGTGCGGGTTCTCCATTGGAGGGCCGCTTGTGGGGTCCGCATTGGAGCGGTCATCAGAATAAGATTTTGGCACAGTGTCCGAGAACTGACTAGACCTCCAAATACTGACTTCAATCACGTGGGCAACACTTCGGAAGCTTAAAAGCGAAAAGCGGCAAGAAGGAAGTCGCCACATGAGTGTCCCCTCAAAGGGGCCTTTTGGATTGCCTCAGCTACTGCCACAATGGCTCCTGAGGCCCGTGCGCCATAAACCCTGGAATCGCGCTTTCCCTTGATTCAGGTTCATCACCTGCTGAACAAGGGTCCAGCTACGGACCCTGCGGAAGGTTGTTTCTCTTTCTCGAAATCGGGAACTCACCTGGAGCCAAAAAGGGGTGAAAGGTACAACCACATACGGGGGGACACCCCCCCCAAAAAAAAACAGAGAAGAAAAAGAAAGGTGGGTGTCCCTTTGGTGTCCCGTTCAAGGCACCCAAAAACAAACGGTACCGTCAAAAACCGACCCATGTAGACCCAGACCCCAATTTGTCAACGGGCAAAAAAGGACAAGGCAACCACATTTTGTTTGTTTGGTGTTACCGGGAACCCTGCAAAAGATAATTACCGGGAGCCCTACTCCAAAGGCCCCGTTCACAGAGGGCGTCCTCCAAAACGGTGTCGGATCTCCCCTCGGAGGCCCGGCCTTGGGACCAAGACTTCAGGACCAGCAGCACGAAGGCCAGGCACTGAATCATCTGGCCGGAAATCTTCAGGAGCAGATCGATAGGTAGATAGGTCGATAGGCGCTAATGAGGGCAGTCGTGAATTGGCGGGGGGGAATCTGTGAATTCAATTCTCTGGTTTTTGGGAATGGAAGGGAATTTTCCGCAAACCAGTTCTCTCCCTTTGCCTCAACCTGCAAAAGAAGACAAGCCCACGTATCCCTGTTGCGGGTTCTGTCGAGAATGAACCATCCTTTTGTCTACTTTGTCACTTTAAAGGAGGTGTCCAAATGGTATCTCAGAAAGTGGAAACATCCATGACCTGAGTCGTAAATCAAGTTCGGGTTTTTGGGAATGGAGCGGAAGGCAATCCCCACAAGGGATGGTAGAAATCATTCCCATATTCTGTGCCCATCGAACCAGCAGCAGGAGCTTTACAACTCCAACCCCAGGTTGAAAAAGGGGGCAAGTACCCAATCGGGTGTCTTGTTTGAAGGTACCCGCTTTTTGTGGCTTTAAAGGAAAAGGGAAAGCCATCAGTTGGGTCATGGAGGGTTGAGGGGGGGGGGGGGGCAGGTGCCGCCTGAGCCATGGTGAGGATGGCGGAGAACTCCCCGTTGGCCACGAAGTGGTAAACCTCGCAACACGGCTTCCTCGACTTCTTGTGTTTCAGATGTTTATGTCGTGCGTTCTTTTTTCGGGGTGGAGGGCAAGGGGGGGTAGTTGGCAAACAGGATTTGATTTGGGTTTGATTTAGGGCATACATGCACAACATTATAATACCTGTGCCTTCCAAGGGCTGTAAAATTATCGCTGTTTTGGGCAAAACATGTTTTTTGGGCTCAGCGGCAATAATTTTTGCTTGCGAGCGTTTTTTGAATATCGGGTATCTATGGGATTCACTCAGAATTTTGTGTGAGCCTTTGCGTTGATTCCTCGCAAAGCTCTCCTGGCTCACTGCCTCTGCGATGACTTTGGCTGGCAACACCACGTGCGCCCTTTTCACGCTCTCGCTTCCATCGAGCCCCTCCTTTGCTCCCGCCTGGCAGGTACATGGCGATGGGACGACATGAGGAGTTTCTGCCAGGTAGCTCTGCCTTGTTTAGTGCGAAACTGAATCGTCGCCACAAACGAAATTATGATCCATGTTTTCCTTGGAATTGCCCAAAGGCTTCAAACCTATAGATTTGGCTGTGAGTACATTCCTTTGGTGGTTGGCCACCTATCATCGCCTATCGCCTGGGGCTTGCGCCAGGGGATGCTATAGTCTTTGTGGCGCCGATCTTGACCCGGCTGGCGTGAAGGCCTTGCTGGGGGGTTCTGGGAATTGCCGGGCTTCCCGTGATCTTTAGAATGTTGGCCTCGCAGCCACACTTTTGGGGTTCAAGTGGCGCAATAATGGCTGAGAAAACTTCTCAGCTTTCAGCCATGCTCGAAAGCGATTCCTCGTTGAGGAATCGCTCTAGGTCCACAGGAAGGCTAACAGCGTGGCCCAGCAGGGAGACTACGGCGTTACCCAGTGTGAAATCCATGAAGCTCAACTGCCGCGCGTTGGTCTTGATTGCAAAGTGGTGGACAAGATGTTCCCCTTCACCACAAGCAGTGCCAATCGAGACCATGCGTGAGCAAGTTTCTTGGTTTGGTCAGAAAACATGGTTGTTTATTTGAACCACACAGTATTGAAAATCCCTAGGTTCTGACTTGGACACCTTGGCCAATCAAGGTTCGAAACTTTCGGGAACTCATGGGCTTCACACCGGACCCTTCAGCAACCAGCTTTGACTCGTGGGGATTGAAGAAATTATTTACACATGGGCTTCGTCGATGGCTCAGTGGAGCTAAGAAGCCAAAAGACGCTTGGAGCTGATTTCGAAAGTTGCCTGTCCCTTTTGCGCAACACATTGTAAAACATTCAAAAGGGTTAAAGCAATTGCAAAAGACCAAGCATTCAAAAATGTATTGGGGCAAAACCCCATGGACACTCCTTGCAAGCCCCTTGTTTTAGACTGAAAGCCAATCGTTGGGAGCCTTGTTGAAAGTTGTGATTACTTGTGATGAGCCGTGGGCCCTTACCCAAGGATGCTCAATTAGAAGAGTTCTGGCGAATTCTCAACCAAGCGTGGGAGGTTCCCGACACGGCGTCTGAGTGCGGCCTGCTCGCTTTGGAGGACGGCAAGGTTCAAGTCGATGACCTGCCAGCCCAGGATGATGGCTATGATGCTGGGTGCGATGCTGACATGTCAGGAGAAGGTGAGGAGGCAGAGGCAGGTGATCAGGAGGCAGGGGATCAGGAGGCAAGTGATGAGGAAGGTGAGGGGGTGAGTGATGAGGAAGGTGAGGAAGGTGGGGTGGGAACTGAGGAGAAGGAGATGGATGGTGAAGCATGTTGTGAACACGTTGGTTTTCATGGTGGTGAGAATGATGGCGATTATGGAAACAAGAGGTGCTGTGCACAACAGGATGCTCAACCCACAACACCGCGCGCAGCTCTCAAACCCTGTGGTGTAGAAGAAATCACTATTTCGTCCAGCCCTGACCCTGAGCCTCTCATGGACAAGAAGCAGGCTGAGCTTTCCATCCCTGGGCTGATCAAGCTTGAAACCGGGGCCCGTGCGCAGCCTTGGCAGGGTGCACCGATCCGAGCCAGCGAGAGCACCTGAAAACGGTGTTGTGCAGGGCCAACTGTTTGAGGCCTGGTGGAACAATCTGGCTTTGCCAAACGGTCAAGGGGGCAACATGTTAAGCGTCTCTGTTTCAAGGGTTACCTCTTATGTTCAAATCGGAATGGGAACTTTCCTTGCCCAGGGCTCAATTGGAACGCAAGCAGCTGCAGCGATTTCCAAGTGTGGTGAGTGGCCTGGGAAGCGGCCTGCCTTTCCATCAGCAACCTTTCGCGGGAACCAACCGGCAAAACTTGGTTGCGCGGGATTCAAATTGCACCCGCGAAATCAAACACAAACAAGGGCTCCTTTTTTGCAATGGTTGTGAAAAACAAGAATTGTAACTGCCGTCTCCCATCGCCCAGGTATGGACAACCTCGAAACCTTGCCGATGGACCCTACTGCAGCAAGTAGCGCTGCCTCTGCAATCGCTCAACCTGGTTCGCCTGTTTCGATCGCATCAACCCTGTCTTTACCTCCCAGCTTCAAGGAGGCTTTGAACGTCAAGGATGATGAGGTGGACCCAGGAATCCCACCTACACAGCCTGAGGTTCTGCCTGTTGAAGCTGAAACGCCACAGTCGCCTCCAGCCAGCCACATTGAAGGAGACCCAGCAATGCCAATCAAAGAGGCAGAGCCTGCCCCAGAACCCGCCTCGAATGTGAAGCCCGCAAAGCGCAAGCGCGGCGAACCTGCCATTGCAGAAGACACACAAGAAGACTTAAAGATGCCAGAGTCTTTGCTGGACTTGAAGGTGGGGCTTAAGCGTGTTTGAGTGGTTTGATTTTTTGTTTCAACTAGACAGGGCACACGTTCCTTTGATGGTTTCCTTGACTGATCAGTGGAGGTACCACTGGTGAGGCGGCGGGAGCAGCTAGGAACTGGCTCCAAGAAAGGCTCTGCCACGGAGAAGTGTGAGAACGATGGCAACGAGGTTGACGAGCTAGAGCACAACCCGGACGTTGTTGACGAGCCGGCGGGCTTGAAGGGTCCTACCAAAGCCGAGTTGCGTGCGAGGGCGAAGTCGGCGGCCAAGGCGAAGGCCAAGGGCGGCCGTGGCAGGGGTGGCAGAGGTGGCAGAGGTGGCAGAGGTGGCAGAGGTAGCAGGGGCGGCAGAAGCTTGCAGGAGACACGCTCCTCAGATCAAGGTGGCGCCCCACCTGATGCACAGGCGGAGACAGGCTCCCCCAAGTCGGGCGCTGGCGAAGGTGGCGCGGGAAGTGATGTCAAGGAAACCTTGCCGGAGAAGCAGGCGGAGACAGGCTCCACCAAGAAGACAGGCGCTGGTGAAGCTGGCGTGCCAGCTGATGTGAAGGTGAGCTCGCCAGTGAAGAAGGGGCGCGGCAAGAAGCGCTTGAGCCGTGGCGGGAGCGAGGGCGTTGAGAAGGGCAAGGATGATGCCGCAACGCCTACATCCTCCAGCGCGAAGACACCCGGCAAGGAGGAGTCGGCGACTACTACTTCTACTACCATCGCGAAAAAGGCCAGCAAGCGTGCCAAGGGTGATGACGGGCGTCCTCTCACTTTCGCAGCTCGCTACTGCCCTGCTGGAGAGGTTGGCACGGCCCAGTTCAAGGCGATTAAGAGCGTGTTCGAGTCGCGTTTGCAGCCAGCACTGAAAGCTCAATCTCGTCATCAGGACGGGGTTGGGCGTGGGCTTGTGGCTCTTCCTTCAAAGTGGCCTTTTGCCAAAACAAAATAGTTGTTTGTTTGTTGGCTCTTGGGCCCGCGCAGTTGCAGGATGCTTGGTGGAAGATGTGCCAACAAGCTTTCAGGGACCTCGACGAGGCAGACTACGAGACCTACTTGCAGAGGGCCAACACCAAGGTGTCTGAGTTCCTAACCCTCAAGAGGGAATATACTTGCCCGTCAGCTGCGTCTGGCAACTTGTTTTTGGGTTGAGTTGGGTTAAACAGCGCAAGTTCAAAGTAACGATTTATGAGGTATCCAAATCTCAGTTTCAGGGCACGCCCTTGGAAATCCCAGGTACCCCAGTGGAATCGAAGAGCTGAGCCTAATGCTGACCAATTCGCAACTGAGAAGCCTATTGCCTGGTGAAACCAAGCAGTTAGCTTGTGTGGGGTTGCAATGGCTTTGTGAAGGGTACAGCTTCGGGTATTTGAAGGATGGCTGAATTTTGTTGGCTTTGCGGCGCCTGACTATGACTCATTGGAAGTCACAAAGCAAAGAGAGGTCTTGCCGTTCGCTTCTGATTCAATCTTTGGTGTTTTTTGTCAGGCGCATCCGTTTTTTTGATGAGACAACTGATGAAACATCACTTGCAGCTTGGGCGATAGCTCTGCCGGATAACCTGCAGCGCGCCCCTGCCTCCAAGTGGCCGCGTGTAGACCCGCTATAGGCATCCAGCAGGCCTGCGTTCGGAAATCACTGGCACTTGCTTTCGCAAATGCATTTTGACAAGTTGTCTGCCTACCTCATACTTCACTTGCAAGCGCAGGGTTTCTGTCTCTCTCTCTCTCTCTCTCTTTTTATCTCTGTGCCATGCTCATTGCAGGATGCGACGTGGACAAATGTTCCTTGCCCGCATGGACTTCTTCAAGGATGGCCCAGCTGGCTTGTCTTTGGAACGTCGCTGGCTTTGTTTTGGAACCAGGGTTTGCGAATGGAGCAAACTGCATCATGCCAAAAGCAAACAATGGGATGCCGTTGCTTGACCTTTGCGGCTGTTTATGCCCTTCGGTGGAACCAATGAGTTGGCAAAACCCAAGAGCGTTTGCAGCTCGAACGCAGCCCCGCTCGCCTGTCCACGATGCTTCTGCCTGAGCAGCTTGACCTGGTCCTGCGGCGACTGATTGCTTTGGGCATTCCCAAGGAGCCTGTATGATGCATTCTTGATTAAACCTTGTCCTTGCTGCCCGTTGTGCTGCTCGCTTGGAGGATTTTATCATGTTGCTGCTGATGATTTCATGGA